AGTTTTTATATCAATAAACTTCTACTTTATTATGAAATTCTTTTGTTTGTGTAGTACAAACTGGAGAATAAAGTGGGTAACTTTTCACATACATATTACCTCGCTACAAGTTGTAATAATAGAAGATATTAAACCTTTCCTTTATTTATAGTCTCAGTATGACCAACCGCTTTTGCGAATACTTTAGAAACTAAATAAGTTTCTTTGAGACTTACTACAACATAATATCTTATTGATAATCAATTTTATTTTTCCAAAATAGTGGTAATTAGCTCTTCCAGAGCTCTCAATTAATTTTGTGCTACCACATATTCATCAACATCCATATGGTCATATATCTTTTTCAAGGAGAAAGTTATACCATTATAGTCATGGTCAAAATTATATGCAAGATATGTTTCTTGCATTATTGTTGTCCTTTAATAATCACATTGCCAAAATATTTTTGCGTACAATAGGTATGTGATCAATGACCATTCATGCCATAATAATGACATTATTTTCTTATATCATCTCAAACCTCATTCTAGAGGTGAGTGTGGTATATTCGCTACCACTAGCACGTTCATATTCTTTGAAGAATGAATATGTATTCATAAATCAGATGTTGTCACATTCACATCATGAATGGACCATAATCGTCTATATGTAAACTTTGGAGCTCAGCTTAGGGATCAGATATCGATATCGGAAGATCAGGCCCATCACTTCTTCTTGACTTCGATGATTTGCCTGCAGGAGGATCATCGAAGGTTGGAGAAAGAGATTTATAAAATCTCATGTCAAATCAATGATAAATATTACTTTCACAAAGTGAAAGATTATTTTGAGAATCCTTATTATTCCCATTATCACAATGATGACGATTATAATTTCGTCTATTGCCACGTCCACATCCATTGATATCTTCACGGTAATAATTTTGTCTTCTTTCAGACTATCACATATTACTATCACATTCTCTTAAAGGAATGAGAATGAAACAAATTCAATGGGACGTGTTTTCAATTCTTTGCCCACAATCATACATGAATTTGATCATGGCAAGACATAGAAATTTTACCACTTTGGGTGGTTATAATTTCTTTCAAATTCCATTAGAGTTATAATCAAAATTTTATTGTCTTTGCTTGTATTTAAAATCAAATTATAGAATTTCAAGAATTTAAAAGAGAAATATAAAGTAAAATACTTACCTTAAATCCATAATTTAATCATGAAGGAAGTTTATAGAACAATTGGCAATCATTATGCTCAATCCAAAAGCTTCTACACAACGTATTATAAAACAATAAAAGAAGAAGAAGAGTATTGCAGAGAAAAATAGAGAGAGGGAATCCTTATTGATTTTGAGATGAATTACAATGGAATAGAACCCCTTTATTTATAGGGGAAAAGTGATTTAGCCACCAAGTAACAAACCCTAAAATCTCTCTAAAATATAGACATTTACCTTAAATAGAATTCTATTTATAACAAATTTAATCTTTTTGAAAAATGAAGTAGTAACACTTTGTGGGACAACAATTATCAAAATGCAGGCTGACAAAATCTTATGTAGATAGAGAGTATCAGTGGAAACTGCTAAGCAAATACAGATCGACGCTGCGAATCAGAAGGGGCAAGAACTACGATACTATATGTGTGTTTTTTTATCTTTTCGTTCTTTCTACTTTGAGATGGAGTAGTAGTATCTTTTGTTGCAATTGGTTTCAGTTTGGATACTGAATTTATCAAGCAACTTTCAATTCAGTTGGTGTAATTACTACGGAGGAGAGGAGATGTAGGTGTAACTAAGATAACTAGTTTTAGAGAAGGCGTGTTGCGCGTGTATTTTATATCAATAAATATAAATTTTAGAAAAATTACATAAATACTATTCACAAAAGTTCTGAATGATAAAAAAATTTAAAAATCCAAATTCCTGAAAAAAATCTTGAACATTAATCACATTTATCTAACTCAATAAAAGAATGTTCTGCTCTACAAATACCTTTTTACTTAGATTTTCGTTAGGGATAGATTTAGGTTCTCACGTCATCTTTTCTATGTATATTTGATCATTATCATGATAAAGAGACTACATGCTAATAAACATTGTTATTCTCTTTAGCTCAATAATAATGGGTAATATTAGTTTGCCACATATTTCGAATTTGATATTTATTTGTGATTACATGTAATATCTATTTGCTAGAAAGATTTATCGATCCCATGAGAAGCTATCAAATTCCATGACAGCACTTTTGAAAATATTTTATTTACATTCTTAAAAACGAATAGCTTAAAATAGCAAACATCTTTAATATTACCAACCTTAAAATTTTAGCAATCTAAAAGTGTTCGACGCAATGCTTTATTTATGTCCTAGTTTATCTGATTCGACATTACCAACCTTCTAATATCACATGGATTATTATTGTTTCGGGTGAAATTATAATTCCTAAAATTATAAATTCTTGAGAAAATTAACTTACTCAATTTATAGAAGTAATCTTACTGTGTTAATATTCCTAAATATTTTGAGTTCCTATATAGTTCAAATAGAAAGATTTAATAGTCAAAACTTTAGTTAATTTTAACGTTGTAAATATTAGAAAGTGCTAATGAAATAATGATTTTGTCCCAATAAATTTATTTTTAATGATAAGAAGGTTGATCAATTTTGCATTGAAATTTCATGCTTTTATAATAGTCTAGATTGATTGAAGAAGAAAAAAACTAAAAGAAAAGTGAAACATTATTTTTCTATATATTTAGTAGCTTTTAATTTTAGTCTCACATTATTTACCACATAATTAAAATAAACTAATGCAGTTTATTGCAAATACTAAGTGAAAAAATATTTTTTTCATTGTGAAACAATTGGAGTACCATTAGGATATCACTTAATTGCCAAAACTACTTCAAAAGAATGTCTACAACTTTTGTCTCCAAACAACTGACTTTTTAACTAAATTTTAGGCATCTAGTTTAAATAAGAAAAAGATTTAATAACCAAATTTCAAGGAATTTCTAGGTATGAAATATTAGAAAAATAATTAAATGACTATTTTATCTAGTGTGAACTATATTTTTAAATTGTAAAAAAGGCGAACGATATTTCGCTAAGGGGTTTCGTGCTTTTAATATAGTACTAGTCTTAGAGTACGCGTTTTGCGCGTATATCTATATTCATAAATATACGATTTTGGAAAAAAATCTCTCTCTATCTTTCTTATATATAGTACATAATATGTCTGGGTTGTAAAATAAAAAAATAGAAAAAAAGTAATGTCATCACATAAGTCATCGAATGCCTTATTATTCTTGTTTTCTCGTTTGCTCCGTCAATATTGAGTTAATATTTTACAAGAAATAATATATAAAAAATATAGGGAGTTGTCACTCTTTACAATAATGAATGAAGAAAAAATACAACTCATTTAGAATACATTTTGTCTTTTAATATTTTATCCTTATCGCTTCAAATTTGCACTTAACCAACTTGATATAATCAATTTTTCTCTATCTCTAATTTTTCTTTTCGCCGGTATCTTTCTTATGAAAATTAAAATATATGTACCATATGAGTTTTATCAACTTGAAAAATAATTTTTTGTATATGAATAGTTTTAAAAAGAAGTGAATTGAATTTATTTTGCTATTAGTTCTAAGAACTTAATTATTTGTTTTTTAAAAAGTAATTTATTTTTATTCAAATTCTTAGTATGAACTCATCCAAAATTTTATATTTAACTGTAATTATAATTTTGTTCAATAAAAAATTATTTTCAAAGGGTAAAATATCGATATAATATTTTACTTTGGACAGTTATATTTTCAAAATTATTAGTGCAATTGACTCTTATTGACCGCATCTCGTTATTTCTTGTTTAAAATCTGAAATATTTTTTACTATAAGTTCAAGATTATTAATGTAATAAAGTTATCATGTAACTTTAGAGTTGTATTAGTAAATTCTCTTTTTGGACAAATCTTCTTATTCCTTATTTTTTTTCATGAGTTTGGGAAGAATGCAATTTTAAAGACATTGAGGTTTAACCTTTATATCATTAACTTTTCATCACCAGATATTATAAAGGAGGAAGAGAAAATTGAGTGATTGGTATGAATGGGTTAACTTGGTAAGTAGTATATTAGAAATATTATAAAGTTCAAAATGTTGGGCTAGGGATTTACATATATTTTGAGTTGGTACATATTAGTAGTTTTTACTTAGTTCAAATAAAAAAAGAGTTAATGATCAAAATATTTTAAAATTTCAAACTCCTAAAAAATACTCACGTTTAAAAAATCACAAAAAAATAATATTAGCTGATCTAAGAAGTCTTGTATAATGCAAAGAGTTTAACATCTAATATAACTTTTAATATGGTTAATATTACGTGTTTTAAATAATTAACTTAAAAGTTCAACTTTTAATATAGTTTACTTTGCAAAATTATTGCTAAGAAAAGTATTTTTGTAAGTATAATTTTACTCAATAACTTTAATTTCCTAAATATTAGGAGTTCCTACATTATTCAAATAAGGAAAGATTTAATAGCCATAATTTTAGTTGATTTTAAATAACTCAATTTTAGGAAAATAATTAAATGACTATTTTGTCTAGTATGAACTATATTTTAAGAGGGTAAAAAAGACAAACGACATTTCGCTAAGGACCTTCGCGCTTTTAATATAGTATATAAATTTTAAAAGTGACTTTGCGATAGAAGTTTGAGGATAAAAACGGTTGTCTATAAATAATTAGTCTTTATTACTAATAGAGGTAAAACGGTTAGCGATCACATTTAGTTGCGACTTTTCATATAAAACTTTTTTGTTTAGATAAATGAATTAAAAAATGTCAAATAACTACAAAATAGATAAATATGATTCTTGGCCAAATAAAGATGTCAAGTCAGTTTTTTCACTCCAATATATATATATATATATATATATATATATATATATATATTTTTCATGATTATTTAGGAAACTTATTCTTTTTAGGGTAGTTCAATTAATTTAAAGTGATTACAAAGGCAAATGTTTAATATTTACAAAGAAGGGACAATTTTGGTGCCATTAATTCCGGTAGTGGCGGCGCGTGGATTTATATCTAATAACTCAGCGGCAGCGCGTGGGAAAGTAATGGTTTTTTCTCTTCTTTGTCGGAAGCGCAGATAGCATGGCGCGTTGTCGGTTCGAAGCGTACTACTAAGCAACAATCAAAGAAAGAGGACAAAGGTCGTCCGAATATAGAAAAATAAGGAGGAATTCGACTTGGTAAAATTTCATAAGTCTTAGATATTTGTAATCTTATTCTTGATTACAACTGCCGCATGCTTTTAATATTGATAATAATAATATTCACATATACTGTCAGTAGTAATTTTTATTCGATTTAGGCTACAGAACTTCAATTACTCTCCCAAAAAGTTGTTCAGTCGGATTTTCATTTATATTATATTGAAGGACCTAAATAGAGTAGAGTGGAACTATAGATTTGTATAGTTGATGATTGATAATAGGAAGTATGAGATACATTTTTTTGATTGCTAAGAAGAATGAGATATTTACCCAGGCCATGATGCTTTTATTTAGGCTGATTTGATATCATAATTTGAAATTTAGAATTGAATTTTCTTTGGTTTGTAGTATTGGAGTGAATCTAAACATTCATTCTAGCACAAATAAGCTAGGTGTTTGCACTGGAAGAGAGTTCATGCATTGTGCCAGCTTAACCATTAAAAGAAACTAGACTTAACTAAAGCTGCAACTCTGAAGTAAAAAGTTTTTGCATTTTAAAATTGCTATGATGGTTTCCAGTCCTGCGGAACTTGTTATTTGGTTTGCCCCTTGACATTGATATGTCTATTATCGCCATTTTTTTCCTTATGTACTTACATGCCAGAAACTAACCCTCTAATGCGACCTTTGGATGAAAAGTTATTAATTTAATTACGGGCCTCAATGTAATAGTAAGCTGGTTACTAGCTGTAAAAGATCTAAGATTTCAATTCAGTTGTAGATTTTGTTGCCTTTAGCTTCATGTAGGCGGGAATATCCGGTCTTGCCAGTAAATTACTCATCGAATTTGATCCAATTTTGATGTCTAACATTCTTGTTGACCTATCTGTAAAAATAGGCTGGACCTTTGAGTTAGCAAGCAGCTATAAAATGACTTCTCAAATTTTTTTCCTAAAGGACAGTTGGACTGAGGCAGATTGGTAGTTTCTCTATATGGGAGGGACTATAATTTTATGGTGAACTTCTTGCATCTTTCGACAAAACCTACATTTTTCTTTTTTCGTTTTCCTTTTTCTCCTTTTAATTCTTTTTGTCTTTTTTTAAACATCAAATTGTTGTCAGAATACCAGAGGTGGCGATGGTAAAAAGTTTTAGAGAGATTCATCAAATGCTCTTTATTAAAAAAAGATTCCTCAAAGGTTATTGCGCTTGTCTCTTTCTCTGGCGGTTATAGCCACAGTTCACAGTCATGGATGAGTATGAAGCTAAAGCTTAGCTGTCAACACCTACCAAATGTTGAATAAAATGTAATATGGATATAGATTCATCAAATCTTCAAAATAATTCTTATCCCCGTTGTAGCTTTGATGAGATATCCCCTATTTTTCATGAAGTCAGAGGATTTAGTCATGCTAAGATAGAAATCAAATCTTTTAGGAAGAGTGAAACTTTTGAAATTGGCGTAGCCCTGTTTACCTCTTTATGCTGTGGCCAAACGTCATCCTGACCATTTTATAGGAAATGAGTCTTACCCAGTTGTAGCACCTTTTCTCATGTATCCTTCTTCTGTTGTTTCTGTCTAGATTTATTAGATATCACTTCAAATCTATGCTGCTCGGACTCTCTGAAAATGTGGCCGGATACGTGTCGGATCCTCCAAAAGTAGTGCATTTTTGAAGGATCCGACACGGGTGCGGCTATATTTTGGAGAGTCCGCGCAACATAACTCCCAGACCCCTCCTGTTGGGATCAAACTGGGTATGTTGTTGTTGTTGACTGTTCTTACTGCTACCTGTTTTTGTAATTTTCTATAATTCGTTTAGTTTNATAGCTTCAAATTTACTTACGGAATTAAAGAGCTTCTCATTCTCATCCAAGTTCTTTGTCCTTTAAGCTTTCCCTCTTGATTTCCTCACAGGTTATAGAGATCATTTTTTCTACCATTTGTTCATTGAGTCAAACAGCTTGCAAATTCTGTCACTCCCTCTGGTGACTTTTTTCACCTGAACAGTCATTGATTTTTCACTCTCTTTCGATTGGATTTGTACTTACGATTCTTGGGACTTCGGATGCTTACCCAAGTTTAACTTGCTTGAGAAATGGCTTCTCAAACCAGTTAGCCTCGCTGGCTGCTAAAAATGATCTTTTCAGGAGATCTTCTGGGTGGTGAAGGCTACGGCTCTCAGTCCCACCTTACCCACAGTCCTTTTAGTTGCAGTTTGGTCTTGTGCACACGATTTTGGATACTGATCTGAATGAGATCATTGTCTTTGAATAGTTTTATTTCCTGGGATGTCATAAATTTATAAAATTCTGCCAATGCTAATGCCATCTCTTGATTCTTCTGGCATTGTTACAATCAGCGCTGAGTATTGAAATTGTTACAAAGGTTCAATTAGAAACTCCTGGCATGGAGACTTCTATTGGTTGTTTCTCGTCAATCTCTTTCACCTCCTTGATTTCACCTTCCTGTTCTATGTCAAGTCAATACCAACTTCCGATTGGGTACGAATGTCGGCCAACGGCCAAAAGAACTATCCAAGACATACTATCTGTGTTGACCCCAACTATAGAGTCTGATCAAACAAGGATGAGGATTGTCAATTACATGGGGAGGTTAATGAGAGAGAACTTTGGAGTTGAGGTTAGCTAGACTATCATTTCACATGTCTATATTTGTTATCTGTTACTTCTTTTTTTCATCTCGATGCTGTATGGGCTGGCTTGCGCCCACCTTGGTTAGTCAACCGGGTAGCCCCAACCCACAAGCAAGCCATGGCCCTGAAGTTTTTTATATTTGCCATAATAGAGAACAAAAGGGTGTTGTGCGAATAGCGTGTTTCGCTGGGTTACATTCAGTCCGTGGAATTTCTGTTCTTTATACAAACACTCAGCACCAATAACTTCTCTTCTTTATTTGTTTTCACGAGAATTAAGAGTTCTCTGAATTGCATTGAGGATTATTCATTTCACCGCTATAGCAAAATCTAATTAATTCACTATTTCCCTTTATATTAACAAAGACATTGCCAAAAATGCAATATATGGTCGATTTATTAGAACCTGTTACTAAAAAATATGGGGATATTCGTCTTGGTAATGCTCCACGTTTTAATGATTTTTTGCTGTACAATAGATTGTGCATAGTTACTAAATGATTTCTCACTGAGGTGACATGATGAAACAAGATAGAACCTTAAATGAGAAGTCTTAGTTTAATCACGGAGCATGTTGAATTCTTCATCTCCTTTACAGGTTTTCCCATTTGGCTCGGCCCCTCTGAACACATACCTACCTCACGGGGATATTGATCTGATTGCCATTACATCTCAAAATAATGATGAAGATATGACAAAAAGTGTTTGTCATTTGCTTAAAAGTGAAGAATTAAAAGCTGCTGACTTTCTGGTTGAGGATGTCCACTACATTCCTGCTCAGGTGTTATTCTGAACTTGTTTTCCTCTTCTTTCGTTTATGAAGCTGAAATTGTTTGGAGACTAATTTTCTTCCTGGTCTTGCTATCTTAGAAGTATTCGTTGTCTTTTTCCTTTCTTCTGATCAACCTAGATAGCTGTATAAACGTATTTTATTTTAGGATGCTAATCTGGAAGTTCTTGTGACACTTCTTTCCGTTGCTTAGATGGTGAAGGTATCGTTGTGCTAAATGCTAAAGTCTAAGATGATGGTTGGTTTCTATCTCTTTTTCATTTTGAATAGAATAACTATATGATCACTTACTGGCCAAGTATCCAGTTAGTGCTTTTATTTAAAACTTTTTGAAACATACACTGAAGGTGATGCATTAGGCTCTTGGTGAAGTTATCAGCTAGAATTTCCTGGCTAAAAATCTAGTACTTTATGGGTGATTGTGATGGTACCTGTTGTTATATTTAACGATTGTGAAGTTCTCCAACCACTAACTTACAAGAAATTTTTAAAAAAAAAAGGTTCTCCAGGCACTAAGCATTGATGGTTCGTATTTGTTTCCTTGTAAAGAAATTAGGTTTTACAGCGTATCTAGAGCTTTTGAAGGTAGATCTTATTGTTATTTCTTATCTTACAATGACTTTTGAGTTTAATGAAATACATTATCCTCTAAGTTATCAAAAAAGAAATATGAATTCTGATATAAAAGTACATTTTCTCTCTCAATCACGGAGACATCAATGTTATTACCTGTTTGAGAACAACCCATGGAGCGGTTGTAAGTTGCATTCCGCTGAATACAGCTTTGCAGCAAACCTTGAGGAACAATTTCTTGCTAGGTTGAGCAAGTTTTGATAGAACAGACTGTTGCATGAATTCCAGCAAGGTCTATTTGTTAAAAATTTAAGCCTAAGAGCCCGCACTAATGACTTTTGGGAATGGCTATCAGATATGCTATATCCTTATCTTCCCTAAATTCTGAAACTAAAAAAACAATTGAGGTATAATTGATTGATTCATTCATTCAAAAAGAAAAAACTCTACCTGGTGGAAATGTCTTGAAAAGAAAGGCTCTTGTAAGTGGAGCTCAGGATGAAGCAGTTTTACTTCCAATCCTGTCAAAGCCATGGCGTTTAGAGGAAAGCCTAGGAAAACCTTTCAAGGGGCTGATAATAGTAAATCCTAAAAATACTTCAAATGTGAAGCCAAAAACTAAGAAGAAATTGAATCATTACAATGCTAAATCTAGCTGTGTTTTTCGTTGAAAAGGGTAAAACGACTCTTAGTAACTGCTGTGTTCATCACAAATAGCTAATATGTTAGATCTCTTTTGGCTTTGCATGGATTGGCTTTGGTAGAGACGTGTTTATAATAATTGAAATGTGAAAATTTGGAGCAGTTAGTTGAAAGGTGTCACATCAAGTTTGATATACAGATAGTTTAAATTTTGTTCGAGGGAGAAAAATTTGTTGTATAACGAAATAAGTCTTAACTTTTTCGCGCCTACCGAAAAGGAAAGAAGGTCTATTTATTGGGATGGGGTAGTATAAGTCTAAGCTGGTTTTTAGCTCTAGCCTCGTCAATCGAGAAGCTGAATAAAAGGAAATTACATAACATAAAGAAGTCTTGAAACAACATGGAAACAAAATATAAAAAGGGTTGTCTAAAAAGCCAAATAAAGACATCTATATTGTAATCTATGAACATATTTTTAGATTCAGCCATCCCCTCGAAGCATCTTTGGTTCCTTTCCAGCCAAATTACCAAAATAAAAGCAAGCAGGTATTGTGATCCAAAACTTCCTCACCCATTCTCCTTACTGATCAGCTTAACAATATATTTTCACATTCTTAGACACCACCCGGTTGATGGCAGACAATCCAAGAGCATGTCCCAAAGCTGCCTTACCACCTTGTAATGAAAAAAGAAATGGTTTGTATCTTCACCTTCTCGCACATGTAGCATCTACAGCAGGTATACAGACCTCTCTTCTGTAGATTATACTGTGTGAGACAAGCCACATATGCTGCAATCCAACAAAAACCTCCGACTTTCGGAGGTGCATAGTTTTTTCAGATAAACATTCTAAGGCTAAGCAGTGTGGTTTCTAGGTTCTACTTCTATAAAACCTCGTAGGCAGATTTCACCGAGTTCGCATCTCTTTGATGCCTCCATCTTAACAAATCTGCCCTCCCAGGAGTAAGAAGACAAGAGGGGTTGCTCTGATGGTAAACAACCTCCACTTCCAACCAAGAGGTTGTGAGTTCGAATCTCCCCAAAAGCAAGGCGAGAAGTTCTTGGAGGGAAGGATACCGAGGGTCTATTTGGAAACAGCCTCTCTACCCTAGGGTAGGGGTAAGATCTGCGTACACACTACCCTCCCCAAACCCCACTAAGTGGAATTATACTGGGTTGTTGTTGTTGTGTTGTTGCAGGAGTAAGAACTGCCCCTTCCAGTTTACCCAAAAGCTGTGACACCCTAATAATCTCCCATTCTTCACGGTTTCTCCTGAAGTTTAGGTCCCAACCATGTGTTGATTTGTATTGAGCTACTCTACCTCCACTATTTGTAGCCAAACTATATCCAACTTATTACATTGTACAGGGAAAAATGGCCCTTACTTTGCATGTGAACTTGGCTTCCTGCTTTTATGGACTCAATGCCACCTCTTAATGGCTGCTTTAGTGCAGAGATCACTTTACACCTCAATGAGTAATAGGTTTTCTAGTGCTTAGTTAAGAACAATAAACTGAAAAATTGATACCTACGTCCACGACAATTAATTTGTGAGTCCGAAACTATAGGCATCACGCAAATTTCCTTGTTTTGCTGTACAAGAAGAAGAATGCACATAGTGTACTCGGAAATCTTGTTTGTGAGATAACTGTGAGTTTTACTTTGGATTGGTAGTCGTCTGGAGTTCTTGAAATTTGTTAAGTGTAAAGGAGAGAAGACTAAAGATGCCTGCTATTGGGTAAAATCTTTTTTCTGTTGTATTAAATATTATTGATGGTCCTTGCAAGCTGCTGATGTAAAGAGTACTTGGTAATCCTGTGACATACTTAAAGACCGAAGAGGTTTGGAAAAAAAATAAATAGTTTAATAATATCCTTTCTAAAACAAGAAGATCGTAAGATTTGTTTTTGTTCTCTCTCTTTCTTCCTGTCTTAACTATCTGTAAAGTGCAAGTCAAATAATACACAAGTTTCTAAAATCGAACTTGTAAAGATTTGTACAGTAGATGCACCATGCAGAAAGATAGCATCATATTTCCTATTGAAGAAAAATAAAAATAAAGTACAAATAGCATCATTGTGAGAATTTGCCACCTTAGTTCCGCCTTCTGGTTTAACCTGAGTCGATTGGGCTTTAGTCATGACAACAAAATATAAGATACTAGTATATTTTTGGCGCAACTATTGCTAAATGCATTGTTAAGCAAGTTTACAAAACAAGGGAATATATATTTTCAAGTACTATAGTTTAGTTCATTTGATACTCCAGTTTAATACATCAGACAAATTTGGTTTTCTGTACGAACAAAATGTTAAGGTTTAAAAATCTATTCCTCATTAAAAAAATAAAGGCAAAATACCTTATCACCCCCCTAAACTTGTCACGGATTATTATTTACAACCTTAAACTATTCGTGGTCTTAATTACCCCCCTCAACTAGGCCTTTTGAGAGCCATTACCCCCCCTGGACGCTGATGTGGGAAATTGTGTGGGTGCACTCGCCTGCCACATGGATTTTTCTGTATATGTGGCATTTTTTGAAAAATAAAATATATTTTTACCTTTTTAAGTATGTTACTTTTTTTGATAATTTTTTTGAATACAATTTATAATAAAACTTGGATAGAACTACATTATTTAGGATACATTTTTTTTATTTGGCTAAAAATAATAAAGTTTTAATTAATCTTTTTTTGAATTTAACCTAAAAATAAAGATTTATACAATTGAAATAAATAGTCAAGACATCTAAAAAGTAAATAGTCAGGGCCGGACCTGAAAATGAATTTTCTCTAAAAATATACTTTTTACATATTTTACCTGAAAAAGTAAAACTACACAACTGAAATAAATAGTCATTGCATCAAAAGAAGAAATAAAAAGAGTGAACAATTGCAAGAAATAATTATTATTTCTAACATACTTATTGCTCTAAAAAATACTTATTGCAGAAATGCAGGGTAAGGCTGCGTACGATATACCCTTGTGGTCCGGCCCTTCCCGGGACCTCGAGCATAGCGGGAGCTTAGTGCACGGGACTGCCCTTTTTTTTATTGCTCTAAAAATGTATCCATAGAGTAAGTTATTTTTTGCAATTGTACACTTTTTTTATTTCTTCTTTTGATACAATGACAATTTATTTCAACGGCGTATTTTTACTTTTTTCAGGTAAAAAATTAATTTCAAACTATGTATTTTTATAACTTTTTAGATGCTTTGACTATTTATTTCAATTGTATAAATCTTTACGTTCAGGTCAAATTCAAAAAAAGATTAACTAAAACTTTATTAATTTAGCCAAATAAAAAAATTTAGCCTAAATAATGTAGTTCTATCCAAGTTTTATTATAAATTGTACTCGAAAAAAAAAATATCAAAAAAAGTAACATACTTTAAAAGGTAAAAATATATTTTATTTTTCAAAAAAAAGCCACATATACAGAAAATTCAAGTGGCAAGCGAGTACACCCACACAATTTACCACATCAACGTCCAGGGTGGTAATGGGCTCTCAAAAGGCCTAGTTGAAGGGGTAATTAAGACCACGAATAGTTTAACGCTGTAACTAATAATCCGTGACAAGTTTAGGGAAGTGGTAAGGTATTTTGCCAAAAATAAAAGAACTTGATATGCATGATGACTCGTTTTGAATATTATCTGTGCAAAGGGATTTGAGGTAGCTGAACATTTTGTCGTACTTCTCAACTTGGTTGCATCTCTCTTATGTTTAAGCTACTAGTGAACGTGATTAAAATTAGATTATTTTATTATATATCGTGTTACCCTTCTGATTCTATGATGAGTATGCCTTACTACTTTTCCGAATTTTTTGTTATTGTTCTTTGCAAGTACCAAAGTGAGATATAAAAAGTAATACAACTGTAAATAAAGGTATTGTGACAATATCAATTGGAACCAATTTAGATTGAAATCACTAATTACGTCCGCATGCATCCAAGGCAAATCAACAAAGAGCAAAGTACTGTAACACGGGAGTAATCACCAAAACCTAGCTATGGGTTCTACGTGTAATTATAAAAATACTTTTAACCATTTGATTTCAAGTACCACTACATGAACTCCAAATAGTTTAGTTAGTTTAACTATCTAACCACATTCTTTTTCCCTTTTTCGCCAAATTTTAGTAAGACAATGAAAACTTTTCGCCTAATAAATATGTATTATTAAAGTTTCCTATTTAGTTTTAGGGAGTAGCATTTATGTTTAATCAAGATAGCGTAAAAATAGCACGATGTAGCCAGTTTTCGGATTGGTCATTCAAAAATAACCAGCGTTTACGAAGTCAATGAAATATAGCCATTATTTTGCTGCAACAGAGACCGGTCCAGCATAATATACTAGAGTTCGGTGTACCTGTGTATGAACTCCAGCATATTATGCTGAACTGGTATACTTTGCTGACTCCAATATAATATACCGGAGACTGGAGCACCGGTGCTCCAAACTCTAGTATATCATGCTGGAGTTCTAGTATACTTATGCTGGAACTCTCATCTTATGCTGGAGTTCCAGCGTACTTATGCTGGAACTCCAGTATAACATACTGGCGTATTTTCCGGGTTTTGAACAGTGTTTTCGCTCAGATTTATCTTTACATGAAAAGTGGCTAAATTTTGATTACTTTTGAAACTGTGCTATTTTTGAACGACCAGTTGTAAATCTGACTATTTTTGAATTTCTCCCCGAGATAGCTTAAGATTATCCAAATTAAATAATGGGTTAGGGAATGATGGGATGAAAAATTAATGGTCCCCCATCTTCCACGTCTACAGTTATTATGCATAGTCCTAACAGAGTTCTCATATTTTCTGAGTTAGGCAAGTGTTCTCATATTTAATTACAAAAGGTGACTGAAATCAGAGGCAATGCCAGAATTTCGAGCTTATGGGTTCGGGATTCTAATCGTTAAAAGTTACTGGGTTCTAAATTAATCATTTATACATATTTAAAAGATTTAGTAAGACAAACACAGGGTTCGAATCAAAGTTACTGGGTTCGGTCGAACCCGGTCCCAATACTCTACCTCCGCCACGGACTGAAATGACTGAAAATATAATACTAATAATAACCATGTAAAAGTAGGCAAGCATGTTCACATGAAAGAGTATTTTAGGGAATAAACGAAAATATCATAGTTTTTTGGTCAATTCACATTGACCGCAAGCTCCTCTATTCTCCCTATTAAGCTTAGCATGAGCCCAACATGTTCGGTATTTTGGTATAGTTCTTCAATTGTGCTGGTACCAATAGAAATAGTTTTACATATTGAAAATGAAAATAAGTAACCACAAGAAACAGAGTTCCATGTACAACATAGGCATAATAAGGTATTTTCAGTATGATATCTGCAAAATAAAACATAAAAACACTGTATGCTCTAGTGTTATTTCAATCAACCGTAATCAACAATGCCATTGACTTGGCCTTGGTTGTAATACATCTAGATGCAGCTAATCTCACAACAATATGTGAATCAACACATATGAAGACACATGGAAGAGGAGGGAGGGCTTCCAGTCCTAGTCTTTCATCTTAGTATTGGTGCAATGGATTGGACCAGCCGCACTTAGAAGGAAAAAGAGCAAGAATACAGAGACAATGTTTAAGTCTAAGTCAGGGCGTCAAGGGAAGCAAGAGAGCATCCATCTGAAATAGAGCACTAAAACTAATTACCTTCCCGCTATAACGGATGGCAAACTATAACAGTCATATACAAAACTGATGAATATGTGTATTCATGCGTTATGTTGCTAAACTTGCCATTCTATTTTCGATGAAGAAAACTTGTTATTCTTCCCAGAGAAAACAAATGTATATGTATTTGTTATCCTATTCATTTTTCTTGCAGTTTCTTCCCTTTCAGGAACACAATCCTAGCAATATCAGCTTAGCGACTAATACTTTAAAGCTACCTCAGTAAGCAAGTGACTAAGCAAGCCACCATTTTAGCAATAGAGAATGGTTAAATAGAGGAAAATAAAATGTCTTATGCAACAAAAGCACTGAAGAGATCATGATTGTCTTCCAGCTGATAATTGCATGCGCATCATACCTCCTCTGGTTAAACAAATATGCCTATAAGTGTACGGTAACACAAATACTGTTAATACATCTTCGAGTGGCAAACAACAACCTAATAACTTAAAGATAAAAAAAAATTAAGGGAAAACAGTTAGGTGCTAAATTTTATCACGCATCTCCTGTAACATTTTCACTGAAAACTGATGCTATAATAGTAACATACCCAAATGAGAATAGTCAAATAATTAAAATCAAGCATCGACTTAACAAACAAAAGAAAAATGAGGTATTTTAAAGGAAATTGAAGGAAATACACATCCTGAAAGGTCTATACTCTGAGGCCATAGTTCCAACATGTTGTGGTATATGATCATCATTCATAAAACATCATTTCATTCAATGATCTGGAAAGGCTTAGAATATTCATTTCCAAAACTTTGGTTGCGTCTTCAAGATGAAGGCTCAATAATAAAAGGAACCGACATGAACAACAACTGTTAATGTGGCATTGCAGCCAAAGAATAGTAATTGCATCAAAATGTGCTTTTTCTCCTTTAAAATATGTGATTTCTCATATTTCTTGTCTTTTTTATTTATCAGTTGTGCTTCTCTTATTGGTCTTCTTCCACTAATAGTTTCAGAACAATAATTCTAACAATCATTAGTTCACTTGTATCATCATGGCGCACTCCACTTCCAGACATATCATATGAAGTTTATCTTTAATCCTCTCTTTTATACTATTTAGGCAGTTTAGATAAAGGCCCTAGTTGCTAATAAGATCGGGTATATTAACTGTACTATTTTGTCAGAGTTGAACCATTTTCCAAGTAACATATACGTGCAGGTGAGTGTGCCCATATATGAGAGGCATGGAAGATTAAAGATGGTAGAATTTCTTATAGAAATTCAGAAAGAAGTAGTACCAAGATAACCTTTCTTAGGTATTGGCAATTCATAAGGGCATATATTCAAATGTGCATCACATAATCGGTAAAATTTAAGACTTCACTATTTTATACAGTACAAATTATCCATTGTCGCATACAGATTAAACGGTTCAATCATGACAAACAAACACCGTGAGGATTCCTAGGGTGTTGCTCTTCCTATAAGTTGGAGAATTGATTTTCAACTAACCTTGAGTATTCCTGTCTATATACAGTAGAGATTAATAGATTATTGAAACTTCACTGCTGAAACTGAACATCACTGCAAAGCTTAGCTATAAGCTTATTTCCACAACAATTTGGACCAAAATTGTTGCACTACATGTTAAAAGCTAGACATGACTCAATACCATACCATAATCAAAAGTATAACAGCCCGAGCGACCAGACTTAACATAAATGTAGCCACTGGAGCCATTCTAAAAAGGGAGAAATTAGCACTACTTGGTGAAATAGGTTCTTTTAGAATCAATTTCAAACCATCTGCTAGAGGTTGTAACAATCCAAACGATCCCACTACATCAGGACCCTTTCGACGTTGCACAAAAGCCATTACTTTACGTTCAGCTAGCACTAAAAAAGCTACTCCTAGTAGAAGTGGTAGAATTATTCCAAGTATTTCAGCTGGAACAGCTATGTATTATGGAATCGCTTACTATTTCTGAATTTCAAAAAAGAGATAAAAATAGCCGGGGATATTATGTGATTTATTAGTATTCTAAATCTTAGTTGGTATTCAAAATATCCGATTCAAGTAGACAAAGAGATGGTTGAATCGAAAAATTTTGTTTAGTTCAATTTTTTCAGAGGGCAAGGCAATATGAATGTTCTATCATGTTCCATCAATACTCTAAAGGGGTTATAAATTGATCATCATTTGAAGTCTACCAAATAGAAACTTCTGGAACTACCTTATTGTTGAACATGCCATAAAAAACTACTACGTAATATTATAAGTAACTTAGAAGAAGGTCGCAAGGGTTCGGTTGTTCGCCACAAAAAGAAAGAGCGCAGAGCCCCGACATGTTCTTTAATACAATAGCTTTACCAATCAGCATTTTCCCCTTTTCCCGTGTGTTTTTCTCTCTTCTCTTCACTTCTCTTCCCTCGTCCAATTTCCCAAGCCCCAATCCAAATCAACTCCAGAAAACCAGTGAAATATGTCAAAGATTATTTCAATTTGTTCTCAAACTCCACCATTGTTCCTTATTTAGCAACGTAAGGAGAAACTCAAATATATATTCAGAATTGCAATATAGAAGCAATTACACAATGGAATAATTCATTCAGGCAAATGAGCAAACAGATTATGGCCATGTCTCTGCACTATCCTACTTAAGCAAGAGAGCTCATGTTCTCCCAGATTTTCGGATAAAAAGAAGCAACAATAATTCCAGAACACGGGAAAAGGAAAAGAAAAAACTGGAAAAATAAAACTCACCTATAGCGAAAATCGGACAGATGAAAGGAAAGTGAGGAAGAAGATTGAAATTAGCCAGAAGAGCCGACAGTAAATAAACCTGTGGTGTCTGCCACGTTTTACCAATCCTCATGTGCCGCTCTCTGAAGAACATATCCGCTTGGACAACGGGAAGCTCTTCAACCGACCCTGAGGACAAATACGGAATTGTTGGAGTATTATTGGTTTTTCCGTCAATGCACATGAACCGGAAGCTCCTCTCGATTCCCCCTTATTAATAGTAGTAATATTTTTGACTCTTAGCACATGGTCTGTATTGAAATAGATTTATTTTGGACATTTTCTTCTTTCCTAGTCTTTCTTAAGTTCTTATGCATTTATAGGGCTGTTCACGAAAATCGAACCAAACCGATTAAGTAAATCGATATATTTTTTGATTTGGATTGGTTTTGGTTTTAAATTTTAAAAATCGATAATATTTGGTTTGGTTTTGGTTCTATTATAAAAAACCGAAAAAACCGAACCGAACTGATTAATTATATAAAAATATGAATAATTATTGATATATGATATAATATCTTTTGGTAAATAATTTTAAATACTTTTTGCATTTTAATTATTATTTTGAATTTTGATTTATCCTACTTATATCTTAAAAGATTGCCTAAACCCAAAAGAATAGGAATAAGCCAATTTTCTTTTCTTTAAGAGAATCTAATTCTCTAACCTACACACATACTTTTTCCTAATAAAAGAGTTGGAAAAAAAATTTACGACAAGAGTAAAGAAAGCAAACTCAAATTGCAAGACTATAGTAGCTAAAGCTTGAGAAAGTAAACTTTTAGTTTGTTTTTTGTTCATTTTTTTCGTATAAACAGGTAAATAAACTTTTAGTTCCGAAATAAATATATAAAAAAGCATAAATTTAGCAAATTATTTTCAGATTGTTGTCTAGTGTTGTTTTACTATTATCGATTTATCATTAGCTTACTAGGAACCGAAAAACCGAACCAAACCAACAACAACCAAACCGATGGTTTGTATGTAACTGGTTATAAAATTTTAAAAACCGATTAAATTGGTTTGGTTTTGGTTTTAATAAAAAACCGGCCAAACCGAACCGTGAACACCTATGCATTTATTTCCTTTGTTCTTCTTAAAGCCATTAAGATCCACTTGCCATTTGGATATAGTGTACGACCAAAAAGTTAATAACAAGTTTGTACAGATATTAGTTGAACCTGTTCAAGCAAAAGTTCATGCCGAAGTTCCAGTTCAAAAAGTTCCTGGTCAATTTGGTAAGTAATAGACATAAAATGGTAATAACTCAATGATATATAGATCATTGATCGATCACATAGAAATTTCACACAGGCTAGGGTATCATAGGGTCTTGGAGTGAGAAACTCTATGATACCCTAGCCCGTGTGAAATAGTCATGAAGTTGTATTGTGTCCAAAGCCAGCAATATTTCAGCTGAGACATTGGTTTCTGCAGAGAAATGATCTTCCTCTTCTTTTTACTTTGAATGTGAATGTAAAGCTACCAATGAAGATTGAGAAACTGCTTGACCTTGCACATTTGTAACAGACTTTGGTATATACATTAATAAAAAGAATTCTTTTAAGGAGAAAATTAAAGTAGGCAATGGAGAAATCTTGTTTAGATTTCAAGATAAGCAAAAATGTAATCAAGGATATCAAAAAATAATAAAAAATGTAATTAAGTGAATGTGGTCAATTTTGGTCATTTTTTGTGAGGAAGCACCTTGGTTCAATGGTTTAAATGCTCACAACTGAATAGGTTACGAGGTTTTTCACCTAACCATTTTGCTTTAACAGTAGAAGAAAACACACTTATTAGGAAAAGAAAAAAGGAAAAAGCGTGGGAAAAAGTAAAGGAAAACACTAGTGTTCCCCCGATGTCATACAAAATAGAGGCCAGTACGAAATATCGGATATATAAAGAAAGATTTTTATTAGAGAATTAGGTACATGAATTCATGATAAATATTACCTAAAGGAATTGACTTATGACATTGGTTGATACCCCCCCNTTATGTTCTTTGCATCTGACTTTCTTGCTCCACCATTGAAACCATTGTATGAGTGTAGAGTGTGAGCCTTTACCGTCTGAGGCTCAGTTACATTAAAATGATAGGTATTCCTCTTAAGTGGTGTGTTACTTTGTAGATAGATGAAGATTTTGACATCAGATACAAAATTTTGGTTTTTGTGATTTTGATAAAAAAAACCCCATACGTCCATTTGTAGCCTGACTAATCTTGCCTCTTCTCATGCTTGGAAATTGGATCTTTCACTTCAGGGGCTATCGATCATTAATGACTCTGTTGCTATGAGATGTCCACAAGAAGAGATGACATTCATTTAATTTCCTTCGCTTTGCTTTGCAATTGAATTTCTGTGTGGGATGTAGTAGCTAACTAGTGTTAGAAATTCCTCAGATGTCTTTATCTATTTGAAGTAAAATGCACATTGTTTAGCAGAGTAAGCTGATGGGACTGATATGTAGCCTTAGTTTGCAAGATTTCAGTACAAGTACTATTTTGCACACAGATTTCGGTTGCATCAATAGAAAGAGATATATGGGAAGCAAGTAATATGCTAGACGAGCAGGTAAGAAGAATTCAACATTTTATTCATTCACTTATAAAAGAAAAGTTGTGTACATTCTAGGAGATACCAACAAGAGCATGTCCTGCTGAGTATATTCTAGCCAAGGTGAGAGAAAGCAAGGTCCATGACCTGGACCAAGTTAAGTGTATTAAAGACGAGAATGACAAAGTATTGATGGAAGAGGCACATATCAGACGTAACATACTTCCATAAACTCCTAAATGAAGAGGGAGATATGGATATTGTGTTGGGTGATTTGGAGCACTCCGAGAGTCATAGAGATTTTGGTTATTGTAGGCATATTAAATTGAAGAGGTCGAGGGGGCTATGTGTAAAATGAGAGGAGAGAGAGCGACCAGGTCAGACGAAATTCCTGTGGAATATTGGAAGAGCGTGAATAGGGCTAGTTTGGAATGACTCACTGGGTTGTTTAACATCATTTTTAGGATGAAGAAAATGCCCGGAGAATGGAGGTGGAGTATGATGATTCCGTTATACAAGAACGAGGGTGATATTCAAAATTGCAACAACTATAGGGGTATCAAACTGTTGAGCCACACTATGAAAGTTTGGGAGAGAGTGGTGGAAGCAAGGGTGAGGAGGAGTGTGTCTATTTTCGAAAACCGATTCGTATTCATGCCGGGTCGTTTGACTACGGAAGCCATTCATCACGTAAGGAGGTTGGTGGATCAGTATAGGGAAAGGAAGAGGGACTTGCATATGGTGTTCATTGATCTAGAGAAAGCATACTACAAAGTCCCAAGGGAGGTTTTATAGAGATGTTTAGAGGCTAGAGATGTTCCTGTAGCTTATACTAGGGTGATTAAGGACATGGATGATGGAGCTAAAACTCGGGTGAGGATAGTAGGATAGGTCAGACCACTTTCTAGTTGTGATGGGGTTGCACTAGGGGTCAACTCTTAGCCCATTTTTATTTGCCTTGGCGTTGGATACACTGACTCATCATATTCAAAGGGAGGTTCCATGGTGTATGTTATTGGCGGATGATATTGACGAGACACGATGCGGTGTTAATGCGACACTAGAGGTTTGAGACACAACCTAGAGTTTAAAGGTTTCAAGTTGAGTATGACCAAGACAGAATACTTGGAGTGTAAGTTCAGTGACGAGACCAATGACGGACGCCGATGTGAGGCTTGGTACACAACTTATTCCCAAGAGAGATAGTTTCAAGTACCTAGGGTCTATAGGCTTGGTACACAACTTATTCCCAAGAGAGATAGTTTCAAGTACCTAGGGTCTATAATCCAAGGAAATGGAGACATTGACGAGGATGTTACATATCGTATTAGAGCGGGATGGTTGAAATGAAGGCTCGCATCCTGTGTCTTATGTGATAAGAATGTGCCACTTAAACTTAAAGGTAAACTCTACAGAGTGGTACTTAGATCGATTATATTTTGTGGGGCAAAGTGTTAGCCAATCAAGAACTTCCATGTCCAGAAAATAAAATTAGCAGAAATGAGGATGTTGAGATGGATGTATGGGCATACGAGGATTGATAGGATTAGGAATGAGGATATTCGAGCGAAGGTAGGAGTGGCCCCTATGGAGGAAAAGATGCGGGAAGTGAGACTAAGATGGTTTGGGCATGTGAAAAGGAGAAACACAGATGCCCCGGTAAGGAGGTGTGATATGTTCGCCTTGGTGGGTCTGAGGAGAGGTAGAGGTTGGCAAAAGAAGTATTAGGAGAGGTGATTAGGCAAGATATGGTTTTGCTTCGGCTGATCGAGGACATGACCCTTGATAGGAAGGTGTGGAGGTCGATGATTAAGGTTGAAGGTTAGTAGGTAGTTGAGTGTATTTCCTAAGAATTGCAGTGTTATTAGTGGCAATCTTGTATTCTAATATTGTAGATTTCTATCACTACATGTTATTCCTTTCGCCTCGTTTTCTTTTTATTTGTTCTCGTTATTGTTTGTTGCTACTGCTCTATTTTGATCTTTCCTCGTGCCGAGAATCTACTGGAAACAGCCTCTCTACATTCACTGTAGGAGTAAGGTCTGCGTCATCACTATCCTCCCCAGACTCCACTTGTGAGATTATAATGGGTTTGTTGTTGTTATCCTAGGATTTATATCGATAACTTAAAGATACTGTGTCTGGTAAATCTTATTAATACACATTTTTTATATGTAGTCGTCCTCTTAAATTTCTTTTCATTTCTTAAGACTCCTTTGCATTACCTTGTAAGCATAAGTCTATTATGTATTTAATTTGAGCGTAAAACATCAAAAAACACATAAAAGAAAGTTTAGGTTTTAGATCTGGTAACCATTTTGGATGCCTTTACTTAGTATTTATTAAGCTGTTGTTCTCCTACTTTTCTTTCCAGAAGTACCTGGTGGCTAGCAGGGCAACGTCGTCCAGTTCTTGGAAATTATTAGGGACTTCATGGCTTTGAGAGACGTTTAGCTATGCCCTGTATCTTCTCTTCCTTCTTCTTGTGCTCCAGCCTCCTGCTATTCAGCTATCCAGCCATCCTTCACTGAACCCGACATGACCCACGGCACCCCTAACCAAGAATAAACCACCAATTGCAGGAAGCTACCTGGCAATGTGACTAGAGGTGATCCATGCCCTCTATTTTGAACATCTACACATGAAGTATCTCCCTTCTCTGCTGTCA